GAAGGAAAGTTAAACTAAGAAAGAAGCTCCTTAGAATATTAACTAATTTGCTATCCGGCCAAGTAGCACAGAGGTATGTAACTCATATTATATTTAGTTCTCCTACAAGAAATTATCAATATTATTATTTTTCAGCATAAACTGCCTATAGTCGGCTGAGCATTCATTTCTAAGTATCGCTAGACCACGTGTTGCATAATCATTCCCTAATCAAGCACATTTTTCTATTTGTAAGCGGTTTTTAACTAATACAGATATACCTTATTGTATTTTACCCAGTCTTTACGTGATTCTAATAAATGCAGTGATTGAATGATGGAATCCCAGTGAGTGATTTGCTGTTCTAACACGGCCGACCCGGGGATCCTCGAAAGATTGCCCCAGCCGTAACATATATACTGTTGAATTTAATATTATAGTATTATTATAATATTGTAGCCTCGTTTGTTTTGTTTTTTTCTTTTTTCTTTTTCTTTTTTTCTCTTTTTTAACTCGAGGATACGCGAAGCATAGAAACGAGTTATTGTTTTTCTTTTTTGACCCTAAATGAAAATTACGACAGCCAACTAGAAAGCTTTAGCTCCTTTGGCTGTCGTACACTTACACCTATTATATGTTAATAATAGTAAAAATTGTTAATATTATTCAAGCTATATATATTCTTGTGATTCTATTATGTAAAATTAGCAAGCGTTTATTAGTTATTAGTTTATTAGCGTTGTTTTTTTGGTAGCTTATAAATCCATACCTTCAAGAGAAAAATTACACCTCAGTTTTGCCTCAGATCAGTTGTTTATAACTTCTTTCCATAATCCATTGCGGTACTAGTTCGTTACCAGTTTTTTATTCAATTTTCTTGTATTTCTTCATGCATCTCTTCGTGCAAGCAGCTCATTCATCCATTTAAGTGTATTTGACCCTTCTCTATGATCCTTTACCTCTGACGAACAAGTGAGATCTCTTACAAGGTCCCATWGAGGATGCTTTGGCTGTTCGTCCTCTTGCACCGGGTGACACTGAAATGACATCTTGAAATGAGATAGCACAAGCACCTGGTGATGAGCCTTCAAAAACGCGCCATTAACTTCATGTACAAGTGCCTTAGAGGAATCATTCAGTTTGTCAATGTATCCATTGAATTCCCTAAAGAGGATTTCAACATCTAGAACGAGTTGTGGCTCGAGCAGCAGTAAGGGGGAACCGCGATTACTTACGGGAATTACATGGGTATTCCCCGCGCTCACGTAAAGGCGTCCGCAGCGGGTATTGCCCAGCGGCGCGATAATTCCCTTACTGCTGCTGTGTTTGTGCCGTAAACGA